GCCCGGCTGGCCGCTTTGGAAATGCTAGTAACAAATAGCTTGCATCCCCAACCCTTACCCACCACTTTGCCCACATGTGTTCAACTACCTGGTGTTCCCATAGGTTCAGGGCACCTGCCCCAGGCGGATAGGGGGATTCCAATGGCCGATAGAGGTATTACGCCCTCAGCCCCCCAACCCAGACCTACAAACATCCATTCACAACCTATTGGTACGGTACCAAACCAGGTAGAAATTCCCAGACTAATGTCCGTTAGATTGCCTCCTCCACGTATAAATTTGCCCCCTGAAGCCACTCCTTTTATTGTTGTCTGTGTCAATGTCCCCATGGTTAAGGGCATTGAGACCACAAACAGATTACTTAATCAGACCCTTCGGTTTACTAATAATAATTTTAATTTAGACCTTGCCCCGGCTGATTTTCGCTCAATCAAGAGGGTATCTTGGGTGGGACCTACAAACAAGCATTTCAGGGGGGACTGTATTGTAATTGATTGCTTTCATGAACGTACGGCAAACATAATTCTACAGACCGCCGCCACCCTTGCCCCCTCTTTTGGTGGTATCCAGGTCTGGCCCCTGAGCTATTTCTACCCTTCAATTTCCGACCATCGCCTTGAGGATTTAACAGACCCCCGCAAGCGAGTCTATCGCTTTGATCAGTATCAGGGACGTGGCATTCCCTTAGTAAATCGTTATTCTCCACTGTTAGGTTTGAATTCCTGCGACTGACTGGGTGACCCACTTCAAAAATCTTTCCCATTTCAGTCACAGGATATCCAAACTCTGGGGCTGCATTGCATTCCCCTTTAACATCACAGGTAGAATTAATTGCAGCCAATGAGGGAAGCCGAGCTATGAAAAACAACTTGGCCATAAATCTCACGTCAGAAAGCAGCTACAGGGGTGCCAATGATGACAGGAATACAGACAGTGCCCACTGTGAACAACCTCGAACCTTACCGAATGATGACCCCTTAATAATCTGGTCGTGGAACATAGCCGGGTTTGATAACTTCCTGAAACAGGGTACTTTTCCCCCAAACGTTCTAGTGGCTTGCCTTCAGGAAACGTGGTGCATCAAGGCCCCTTATGTTGAAGGTTTTAAAACATTTTATCACCCAGCAGTGGCCGTAAGTAATGGACATTCTGCCGGGGGGCTAGTGACCTTAGTAAACACAACATATCAGGGGGATATAATTCAGTATAAACGGTGTTCACATTGTCTACTGTCAATCACGCTTTTAATGCCATCCATAGCTCTCACCCTAATAAATGTTTACGTAACCCCGTGGACAGACAATGTTAAGATATATGAGGAGCTCCAGGCACAGCTAGACCTGGCCAGGGACTCTGTTTCTAACAACAACCCTCATCTCATTCTAGTGGCCGGGGACTTTAATAGTAAAATTAGCGTTTCATTACAAAACTCTCATGATGAGATCTTAAATAGTCTCTGGGGTATTCCTGTCCATAAAGGTTTAACACGCAAAACCGATCAGGCGGGTCAAATTTTGTTCGACTTCATGGAAGCAAATGGCCTTAGGGCCATGAATGGCCGTTTTGCAACTGACTCGCCCGCCGCTCCCACGTTTAAAAGGGGAAATTGCCACTCGCAGATAGATTTTGTCTGGGTAACAGGGGATAGTTGGCCTTGGGTTAGCAATTTTAAAGTTCTACAGGAAGCTCACAGTGACCATGAGATCCTGGTAGCTCATATCTTAATTAACATCCCCTTACCATCAGACCCCAATGGCCCACTGCTGGAGTCATTCCCCAACAGGAGGGCCGTCAAATGGTCACCCAAGACAGAGTCAAATCTGAATGTATATCTGTCCGCTGAGGCAAATCTGGACATCTTAAATCATCTAATTCAGATCAAAGATCCTTTGACTCGGTGTGCCAAGGTTCAATCTTTTCTAGGGGGCCTGGAAAGATTACTATCTAAGGACATCAGGCATAAGGTGCAGGGGTGTCACCCATCTTGGTACGACCGAGATTGCCGTGAAGCAAAATTGGCCCTTCTCAATGCATTAAGGCAGGTCCCTAGAGATAAACAGTTGGTTGCCCATCGAAGGGAAAATTATAAACAGATCATGGAAGTTGCTAAAAGAAAATTCCGCTTACAACAGTGGGCCCAAATTAAGGAAGCGGCTGAAGTTGGAGACTCAAGGGAATTCTGGATTAAGATAAATTCTGCCCTGAGGGGCTCGGAAGTTACACGAATTGAGAACCCCTCAATTCTTCCGAATGATTGAGCAACTCATTTCGAGAATCTTTATGCGCCACAGGTTTCTATCAAAGAGGGGCCCAAGATTCGTTGTGACACCTCCCTCGAGATTCATTTTACTAAAACCCAGGTGGCAGCGGCCATAAGTAAAATTCGCCCTGGTAAAGCCCCGGGAATTGACAAACTTAGCCCTAATGTTTTTAAGTTTAATGCAGATTTTTGGATCCCCTTTTTAACTGGATATTATAATGACATATTAAAAACAGGTAAAATTCCCCCCAATTGGAAAATTTCACAAATAATTCCAATTTTTAAAAAAGGAGATGCCTCATTACCCATGAACTATAGACCCGTATCTTTGATAGTAATCATCTGCAAGATTTTTTGTATAATACTGGCCACCATCATAAATGATTGGACAGTGTCTACAAAATCACTGAGTAAACTGCAATTAGGCTTTAGGTCCAATGTAGGGGTGAGGGACCAAGTCTTGAACTTGGTAAATATCATCTATAAATACATCCTAACCGGCCAAACCCTATATGTCGCCTTCATGGACATTCGGACCGCATTCGATTCGGTAAATCGGTCCAAGCTATGGGAGCTCCTTCAGAAAAAAGCACTCCCTGCAGGCATTTTGAAAATCCTGATAGCCCTACACGAAGATCTAGAAGGAGAAGTTGTTATCAATGCCGGAGCTAGGGTAACCAGAAGGTTTAAAATAACATCGGGAGTCCGCCAGGGATGTCCCTTGGCCCCGCTCCTTTTTAATTTATACATCAATGATCTTTGTGACCTATTGTCCTCTAAGGGTCTAGATGTCCCCCGGATCATGGGTGAACCTACACCTCTGCTATTATACGCAGATGACTGTGCTTTACTGGCCCGCACACCGGCAACCCTTCAGGTCCTAATTGACACATATGTCCTTTTTATGGATTCATTGGACATGAAAGTGAATGTTGGGAAGTCAGAGGTAGTGGTTTTCTGTCTGAATTCAAAGGGGGCTGCAAGGAGACCATGTTTTCGGATTAATAATGAGCGACTCCAGGTGGTAGACAAATTCAAATACTTGGGGGGGGTTTTTACCCGAACTTAAACTGGTCACAAATGATCACCCATAACGCCATAGAAATGCGCAAATCAAGTACTGCCCTGGCCAACATTGCCGCCCAGTCCGATGTCAATTTACTTCAAGAGACTTTGGGAGCATACAAAGCAAAATCTAAGGCTCAGGGCCAATTCTTGGCTGAGATCTGGGGCCACACGGGATGCCCTCTAATTTGGAGGACGGAGCGTTTTTTCTTGGCACGGGTTTTAGGAGTTCCCAGATCAGTGGCCAGTGAATTGTTATACTGGGAAACCTGTATGTCCCCAATTGAGTACACCATTCAATTTGCACCTGTCACTTTGTTTTGTAAGATTTTAATTAGGCCTCATGATGATTTTACCAGATGTGTTTTAATTGATTTATGGAATCACTCGTCTGTCCTAAAAAATCCATGGTTTCAGCATGTTCGCCGCGTTTTTAAATGGTTAAATATAAATATCAATGATGTTATAAATGACCCTTTAACCAACTCGGAATTATCAGCTTTAAGAAAACGCTATCTGAATCAAAAATCTCTAGAGGCGGAAGCCATCGCTAAAGAAAAAACGACAGTTCTGCGATTTCTGCCATTCCTCTCATTGGAACCCCCTCTGTATACTACGGTAGCAATGTCTAGCAGAGGTCGGCGATTGTTAACAAGATTCCGTTTTTCATTACTTGTTTCCTCAGAGGTAGCAATTTGGCAGCATCGTAAACCTGTCGGTAGTAATGGCTGTCAGTGCCGCCTTGCTCAAGAATCAGAGATCCACCTGTTACTGTTTTGTCCATTATTTATCACTCCTCGTCGAAAATATCTGTTGCCACTGTTTAGGGATTTAGGATTCAGTCAAGTTAAACCTTTGATTTATTTTTTAAGGCTTTTATTAAATGTCAGAAGTATCTATAGTTTAGAACAGTTTCTTTTGACCTGTCAGCTTATCTGTAAGCGAAATGGAATAACTTGTATGTTTTAATGTTTTATACCTTCGTGAACCGAGTGTATTTAATGTTTTACGCCATCGTGAACTGAGTGTATTGAATATGAAATGCAACTGTATTTAAAAATATGTACTTTTATGAGAATGTTCTCGAAATAAAGTGTTATACATACATAAATACCATGTCAATAATAAAAAAAAAAAAAAAAAGTTAAAATATGTACACAATGCAAACTTACAAATTCTGCATACATACTAGAAGACTGCACAAGATTAGATTTATTCTTTGAGAACAGGTCAGTGCACAAAGATCATTATAGAAGTGGACAAAATATGACCTTGAAACACCCAACATTGACAACTATATACAGAGCAGAATTTCCACCTCATCTTCGAGAGGATAAAGATATCTAGTAATTTAAAAGACTTGATAGCATAAGGTTTTGAGAAATGTATTTAAAATATACAAAGTTTAAAATGCCCACACAAGTCCAATAATGTACACATACTGCACTATCAAATGGTACTACAAACTGTTGCATTCTGAGAGTTTTAAACACAAGTATCATTATTGCAGTGTGAAAAAAATGAGTTTGAAGCACGCAACAAACACTAAATACTATATTCAGAGCAGATTCCATCCCATCTTCAAGGGGAAACTAAACAGCAGCCACAGCTCGGCACAAAGTACATTCTCTCCTTAAGTTACAAATTTAAATGTCCAAGAAGGTCTCAATATCACTCAGCACTTGAATCTGTCTGAAAATGTTGGCGATTTGGGGATAGTTAGTGGCACCACACTGGCCTTCACATCCAGTGTCTTGTACTTTCTCACTGGTTGAGCTTTGTGAACCAGTTCATGTCTTTTTCTGCCACCTCCTCTTTTTCCAGTTGTTCCTTGCGAAGACGGTCTTCCATGTCCATCTTCTCCTTCATTGCTTCTATCTCAGATATCTGCTTCTCAAACTCTTGCCTTTCCTTGGCACGCTTCTCAGTTGCCAGTTCAAAGTTATCCTGAACTATGGAACCAGAAAGGCTCTCAAGCAACGTCCTGCTATCTTTTTTTGGAACAAATGGTTCTTGGTGGATGATGGTGTTGGGACGAGCTTTAAAGCATGCAGCTTCCTTCTGCTGTTTGAGCTCCTCTTCAATCTGTTGCTTCCAGCGCTGTGTCTTCTTGGCTGCCCTCTCCTCTATTTGGAGGTGAAAAGGTTCTGGGTGCGTTGGAGTTTTAACCTTTTTCTCAGGCAGGGATATTTGATCAAAGTCAGGAAGAAGCAAGGCCTTGAATGTAGGAACCTCTTCTTTCCTCAGCTCTTCCAGTTTCTTCTCTTTTTGTGCCCGACGCTCTTGGTCACGGGAATCAAAGGAAAATGGTGCAGGCTTTATTTGTCTTTGCTCCAGTGATTTGGGTTTAAATGGTACACCATAATGTGGCATTGGATTTGCCTTAATAAGTGGCAGCTCCTCCTGTTCTTCCTCATGTGCAGGCCTGCGCACTCTGTTCTTCAGGGCAAAGGCTGGAGACTTCGGAACAGTAGGGGCTAAACATTTCTTCTCTGGAACACCCACCACTTCCTCAAGCATTTTAGTTGGACAAGGCCTTGAATGGAATGTGTACTTTTCCTCTTCGGTTTCTTCTTTCTTTGCCTCCCGCTCTTGGATCCGCTTCTCAAGCTCCAAATTGAAACCAATTGGCTTGGTGGGCTCTTTCACAGACTGCTTTTTTGTAAGAACTAAATCCCCATCAAGTACTCTTCGATCCAACTCCTGAGCATGAAATTTATATTGCTGCAGTTCTTCTAGTTCTTCAGCCTCCAGTTCGGCTGTACTTTTGCAGGTCACAGGGCGATGGCGACGCTTTGTCTCCAGTTGAGGAGTCTTGGGTTGAGTCAGCTTAGGTTTAACACATTTCACAGGCGATGGACCTTCATTCTGCTGCTGTCTGCTCCGGAGGTGATATCGGGATAGTGTGTGCTTGTAGAACGCTTCAATTTGCTGAGCCGTTGACACAAACTTACTAGGCTCGATTTCTTCTTCAAGCTTGCGTTTGTTCCCCGGAGAAGGAGGATGTCTTCTCAGAGCTGAAGTGAAATCAACCTCTTTGAATTCATCTGCAGGCTGGCTTTCTGGAAATCGTTTAAGTCGATCATCCGTGCGAAAGTGGAAATCGATTGCTCTAGTTGTTGGACAGGTTGTTTTTTTTACAGGTTGGCCTGTTCCCGCAATAGCAGCTTTCAAACTCTCCTCGTTCTTCCTACGTTGCTCCATCACCTCTTGCTGCAATTGCAGCATTTTATCCAGTTCTTGATCTTCTGTACTTTTTAGTTTGTTGTTCAGAGATTTTCTTTTCAGGACCATTGGTGTTACAGGAACAGGCAGGCGTGCTTTAAGTTTGGCTGCCAAAGTAGCCCCATCACTTCCAGGGGCCTTGTTTAAAGGTATTTCTACTAAGTTTCCACGGATGGGTGCCCGTTGTACCCGCTGTGGCCTGAACCCAGACTTCAGCTCATGGCCTTTAACACCAAATTTCTGTTTCTTGATCAGAGGGTGCCTGTCACTTGTTGGAGTAGTAGCCACAGTGCGTCTGTTCTCCTGGATCTTTGCTAGTTGTTTTTTCTTTTGTTGCAGGGACAGTCTCCGGGATGACCTCTTTGACCGAGTTCCAAGAGCCAAAACTCCAGCAGCTATAGTTTTTACTGCTGTACGCCAGCTTTCCAGGTGAGGTTGCTATGTTGTCAGAAGTCTTTGCTATTTGAGATTCTGCATTCTCATCAGATCTCCTAATCGGTGTGACAACATCACGTGGAACAGGATTCTTGGAAGCTGGGGTCCTCATGAACGAGTTCTCCCGATTGGGAGGTACGTTCTCTGCATCAACCGTGTGATCAAACCAGGAATCTGCATCATTGTCATATTGTTCATTTAGTGCTTGAAAGTTGATGAAGTTTGGGGCGTCAAACGAATAAACTGGCTCAGACATTTTTCAAACAAATCGGTTACACCAGACGGTATCTCCAACTCTAACACGCCAATTTCGCTTCTCTCCCAAAGACAGGCGCCCGTTAATTTTAAAGTGGTTGTTTCTGAACCGCGGTCCTTTGTTTATTTAGGCATTACTGTCAATTCCAAGGGTTCCTGGGATTCACACATGGACAGGCTTAGCATCAAAAACAAATGCTTAACTGGGTCAATCATCGCATTCAAGAAAACTATAATTTGCCCTTCGATTCTCCCATTCCTGGAAATTTATCGTGCAAAGTGGCAGGGTATCATGTTATACGGAAGTGATGTTTGGGGCTTCAAGCATATTAACTTGACAAAAAAATGGGAGGCTTATTACTGGCGCTCTGTGCTTTCTCTCCCAGCGTGTATACCTATGGAAGCGCTTAATTTAGAGCTAAATATCCCCCCACTTGCTGCCATAGTGACCCACAGGTTTTTTGGATTGATTGCTAGAATTGCAAGGGGTGATACTAATTCATATGCTTATCAATGCCTCCAGGAATCTTTATCTAGCCCTTACAGGTTCCAATGGCTTCAATTTCTAGGTAAAATGCTTAACGTGCTTTCTCTTTCCATACCAGAGGCACTTGCAATGAAGGATTTACCTGAAATGCTTGCTTTTGCTTACAAAGAAAGGATTAATATGTATTTTTACTCCACCTGTGTCCAACATTGTAACTCTCTCTCTACTTTGAAGGAATTTATGCTTGCTAAGACACATGCGATGTTGGAACCATACTTAACTATATGTCATTCTTCAATTGTTCTACGCACCTTTTGTAGGTTTAGAATGGGGTTACTTCCGACACAATATTATGTTGCTCTTAGAGGGCACTTAGAGGCTAATGCCAAGTTATGCCTTGTATGTATGACTAAAGATGATGATATTAGGCATTTAATTTGCGATTGCCCATTAGTCCTGGAACTGCGCTCCTCCTGGCTTAAAAAATATCAATGTGGCCCCAATTCCTGGGATATTACGGCGATGTTGAAAGAAAATGTGTACTGTGACATTGTACGTATTTACGTATTTTTAAAGCTTGCTTTTGAAGCAAAATGCTGGAACCTATTTGAATATTAATTCTTTTGTTTAGCTGAATTGTTTTAAATTAGTTGCTTTTTTGGTCTTGTATATGCTGAAATATGCGTAATTAAGATCTATTTACAACTCAAATACAATTGTATGCAGTTTCACTGAAGGTTACTTTTCTATCCCATATTCCTTTAACAAGTCTCCCAGGGAGATGTTGAAAAACTGGCAGCTGAGAGGAATATAACTCAGTGCATTAGAAGACATAGACACATTTTATAATTGGTCATGGAAGGTTCTAAAAAATGAAAAAATAAAAACTTGCTGTAGTTTCAAGGCAACAAAAAAATAGTGACTGATCCCACATATTGTCATTTAACATCAGCGACAAAGTTTAAGAGGAAAGTTTCATCCGAACAGAGAAAAGGAGGGTCCTGCTCTTCTTGACCCTCTCATCAGTTAAAATTTCTAGAAAGTGTTACGGTGCCCCTTCACATCCGCTCCCGGCCAGCGGGGGGCGCTCCGGCTGGCCGGCCGAAGAGGAGGGGTGCCCGGGGGTGCTAGACACCCCGGGCGCCCCCTCTACTGAGGGAACCACAATTGGAGGGCCAGCACACACACGAAGCGGGCGCCGGCGTTTTACCGCCGGCGCTGCGCTTTTAAAAACACAAGCGGCGCTTTTTGCATAAAAGCGCCGCTTTGTGTAGGCGGGCCGCCACCGCCACGCTCACCTGTTACCTTGACCCCCTGAAGCCACTGGAGGTGGTTCTTGGGGGTTCTGGGCCACATGGGGGGTAGGGGAGCCCCAGGCTTCGTCCTGCTGGGCTCCATTGGGGACTACTTCCTGGTGGCTGGCGAACTGCATGCTGGGAGAGGGAGGTTACAGAGCCCTGTACCTCCTCCCTCATGTTTCCCTCCAAAACCGAATGGGAGGAGTCCTAGAGCTGCCTGGCTGATTGACTCTTGTATTTAAGAGTCAGTCAGGGACCAGGTCAGCGTCTGAACACTCTGTCAGCTACCCTACAGTGTGTTCCAGATAGGCGCTGGAGGTATCCCCTCCTGCTGTCCAGTTTGAGAGGCGAAGCTCTACCGTGCTTTTCCTCAGTGTGAGAGTGCAAGCCTGCACTACCCTTCTTGTTTGTTCTGTGTTTGTATTGTGTTGTGTTCCTGTCCTCCCCCTTAGGGGAGATTTGCAGACAGCAGTCCTAGGTCCAACGCCAGGCTCCTCGAAGAGATAGGTAAGTGGGGAGCTGGTTCTCAGTCTGGGGGTTCTGCCTGGGTTAAGAGGGGAGGTGACCGTTCAAGGGGTACTTACCCTTGTCTCCCTCACTCTAGCAAACCCATCGCTATCCCCCGGAGGGGTCCAACTGCTGCTGCCGGGCGTTGGGTCACCCCCTCTTGTGTTGTCTCAAGTACAGGGGGGTGACTAGACGTTGGGAAGTGGTGGAATATCGTCGCTCACACGACCAGGCCTAACCGAGTGTTCAGACCTTTATTCGTGTGAGCAAGATGGACGATATGATTTTAGGGGGCCGGAGGTAGTGGCCCCGGAGACAAACACCCTAAAGTTAGAGACCTTTTGGAGAACCTGAGCAATCAGATGTTTGAGTCTCGCCAGGCTCAGGCATTATTGGCTCAATCACTGGCCGACAACCAGACCGCGTTCACAGCTCAAATTCAAGAGTTGCAGAAATCAATAGCGGTTCTGAAAATCGTCGGAGTGACCCCACCTCCTCTCGTTCCTGTGAACGTGGGTGTCCCCCCACCAGGACCTGCTGGCCCTGTGGGACCAGGACCAGTTAATCCGCCAGGCCCGGGAGATCCTCCCGTGGCGTTTACCCCATTGCCAAAGCGATATTCTGGGGATCCCCTCGGGTTCCAGCAGTTCATACTTCAATGTGAACTGCACTTTAGAGCCCGGCCGACCCACTACAACCAGGATGCCCAAAAAGTCAATTTTATATTGATGCTTTTGGATGGGCATGCCTTCCAGTGGGCCGCCCCACTACTCGAGGGGCAGAGTATCATCCTCCAGAACTATGTCCTGTTCAAAAACGCATTTGCTGAAGTTTTTAAACAACAGTATCATGCCGTCTCCAGACGCCAGGAGTTAATGGAGATTGAACAGGGAGAACGGAGCGTAATTGACTATGTCGCTCAGTTCTCCACATTGGCTGCAGAAGCTAATTGTTCGGAGGAGATGAAGATATCCATCTTTCATCGGGGATTGAAGGGAGAAATCCAGGATACCATTATGATGGTGGATCCACTCCCTGTAACACTGGACGCATTCGTAGGGTTAGCCCTTCGAATGGAATATCAGCTTTCAGCTAGGAAGATCAGGAGAGGTAAGAGACCTCCTCTTGTCCCGGTCTTCCAAACTTCAGTGCCGAGTATCATGCCTGACCTAGGAGAACCGATGGTTCTGGGAGCTGGTCATCTGTCGGCCAAAGAGAGGAAACGACGGAGGGAATTGAACCTCTGTCTATACTGTGGTAAGGCGGGCCATCTGGTGGCCCAATGCCCAGTAAAACCCCAAACAGCAAAGGAACTTGGTGTTCTGGTCGAGGGGACCAACACACATCAAGGGGATTCCCAGGTCTTAGGGACCATGGTGGACGATTCCTCATCCCACCTGTTGCTGAAGGGGTCCTTATTGGCCAATGAATCTGGTAAACCGATTCATGTAACTGCCCTTCTGGATTGTGGGGCTCCAGGTAGTTACATTGACCAGGCTCTCTTCCAGAGACTAGGTATCAAAGGAGAGCGTAAGTCAAACGTGCAAACCCTTACTTCCGTGGATGGTATCCGGTTGAAGGGAGGTCCGATTGCACGGCGTTCTCCTAAAGTCGTGTGGCAGATGCAGGACTTTTCCCCCGAAGTCATGCATTTTGATATTATCCACTCTCCACGCTTCCAAGTGATCCTTGGAATGGACTGGTTTAGGAGGAACAATCCTCTGATCAACTGGACTACCGGTGAGGTGTCCAGGGCACCCGAGGGGGTGTCAAGGGGTGACTGTGGAGCGGCCGAACCGGTTGTTACCGGTGGAGAGTCAACCAGTCCTCCTATTGATCAGGGACCAAGGGGGCCTCCAGATCCCGCGTGGGGAAAGTTGGAGAAAGTCCACGATCCCTCAATGGTTGAGGAGGAGACTTCAGGAACCATGAGTGTGGGTCAAACCACAAAAGAGTTGGGGGAAGTGGGAATCTTCCCCCGGAGGAGGATCCATAAGCCTCCCTTTCTCAAGAAACCTCATGGTGGTGGCACTGTGGGGCTATTGCAGCCCCTTCTGAGAAAGGGCCTGAAGCAGAGGAGGTTGCTCACCCCCTCTGCAGTGTTGGTTCAAGCCCCTATCTCCCTTGATAGAAAGGGAGAAAGGAACCACACAGGACCCTACGAGCAGGGGAAGAAATCGAATAAAGACTTATCCCCTGCTTGTCTGAAGAGATTATATGCTCAAATGTCTGCGCTCTATGAGAGAGGTTTGGATTAGCCAAGTCTGATTCAAAAAGGGTCCAAACACCGGTGATAGATGAAGTAAGTTAGATTGGAAGATAGTAACTCCTGGTATGGGCATTAAAGTGACTTGGTTGTGCCCTTCAGGTTCTGAGTTGTATTCCAGCTACTTCCACTCCTTCATCATCACAGATAGATAGGATTTGTTGCACAAGTAAGTGTAACAACAATCATTGAAGAAATGTGTGGTATCCCCACATCATAGCCTTCATTTCTGGTTCCTGGGTACACAGTTCCCTTCTTGGGGAAACTGGTGTCAGAACAGAAATGATCTGGTGAGAAAGGTTGTTAGGTATGAGAATGATAGGTTAGAGTTGGTCCAGCTCTACCCAAGAGTAGTACAGGCAAAGGCCTGGAAAGGGTGCCGGGGGTACCCAGTGTTCTCTCCTAATTGTCAAGAGTCCATAGTCCGGTGTGACCTTGGCTTT